ATAATCTTTTGCATTCTTAAGGAAACTTCCATCTATTTTCTCACTTTTCACATAAAAGAAGGCATGAAGTACACATCCTTAAGATCATCATTAAAAAAGAATGGGCTCAAGGTGATAAAAATATACCAAGTTATGACCATTTGAAGTCATATATGGAAAAATGGGGATTCATCTGAGTGTCTTGTAATCTTTCTTCTTCACCAAGTTCCTTCCACATGAAAACTCCTTGTAACTTTTGAAGTGATTTGTTGGTAACTCCTTGAAGAGAAGGATGTTTTTGGAATCACTCAAAAATACCAAAAGATGAGCAAGATATGCTCCGTTGAAGTCCAAAACCCTAACCTCTAGATCAAGAGAATGCTTTGAGGAACTTTGCCAAGTTTGAACAAACTTCTTGTGCCAATATTCTTTCTCTGTGAATAGAAGTTGTTGAGGATGATGATAAGGACTCATAGCCACCAAAACCACTTCCATATCTTGAAATTTGAGAGAAATATGCCCTTTTGACCAATAGGAACAAGACCTTGTTCAATCATGACAACTTCTTCCCTTAACCCTTTGTATTTTTGAATCAATTTTAATAACTTTGAAATATGTTGAACCAAAATGAGCCTTGTCAAGCCATATCTTCCAAAATCACTCCAATAGTGAGGTTTTGAATTTCTCAAGATTGACTGGGGCATGGAAATAAACTCATGAACCCATGAAGCAAACTTGATAAACCTCATTGTCTTTACCTATATTATTAACAAGTAAGGCAAACCGAAATTGCATTTTATTAATTAGAGAGAAAATCAAAGAAAAAATATCCATGATCACAAAAGAAAATAAGTCAAGGTGCTTGGTAACTCCTCAAAAGAGCAAGGCTAAAGATAAGGAGAAGAACCAAAAGCCCTAATGTGATCTTGTTGTGATTGAAGCAATATGGTATGATGAATGGATCTTAGGGGCAAAAATTGGGGTACAACAGGCCCATGTCAAGTTTCAAGCCCTACATCAAAAGTTTGCTCAATCAATGGCTCAGATGATTGAAAATCAATTGTCTTGGTCAAAAAGTCAATTATGGTCAACATATAGTCAAACTTCAAGATTTTTGGTCAACATCAACATTTTTAAGTGATATTCAACATTTAATCAAGGGTTGATCATGATTCCCCAAGGAAAGCTCTCAAATCATAAAAAGTCAAGAATTGTCAAATTAGGGTTTCCTTAGGAGAAGTCAACTAAACTTTGACAAGGCATAACTTTCACATACTTCATAAACTTTTACCCAAACAAAGCTCATTTTGAAGAAAATCCAATTCTCTACAACTTTTATTTTACTCTCAAGTCCAAAAAATGTTTCATTTGGAAGATATGAACTCATACATTATATGTCATTTTCAAAATTCAACAAAAGACACTTTTTGTCAAGGCAGCTTACATCAAGATAATGTCTTCAAAAGCAAAAAAGATCAACATAGATATTGTATAGGACATCTTGAGATTTCCAAAAATTCCATGATCATCTTCAAAAGATAAAAATTGACCAAGTTATGAGTTTCATAAGTTGGGAGATTTTGAAGAAATTCATGAAGTTCAAATTGGGCAACTTTGAAACTTTGAGCTAATGAGCCTAATTTTTGGTGTTAAAAAATGTTTACCAAATATTATAGGACCTCTAATTCCATTTATACATGGCTTTGATTTTTATTCATATTTATCTTGATTTTATTTAATTTAAAATCAAATAAATTGAATAAAATCACAAGAAAATCATAGGCTATGCATATGGGGTAGATTTGATCCACTTTGGAGCCCATTAATTCGTGCAAGACAAACATAAACTGCCCAAGTTCATGCAGCATCAAGAAGGGGCAAGAATCACTCATTTTTGGCAAGCTTTGAATGTGTTTTATTCTTGTCTCAAAGGCCATCATGGCTTGGTTTTTATACCATACATATATACTCCTCTCTTCCCTATATATAAAGTGCACATTCAGAAGCAAAAGGAGATTGTTGTACCCCCAAAATTTTCCCTCTCTTTTCTCAATACATTTCTCATAAAGATCTTCAATGGCTCAAGTTTGCATAAGTTTTGAATAGGTCAAATCCCCTTCTAAAGCACTGAAACTCCAAATTAGGGTTTTGATTTTCACAAGGAAAATTGGAATTCCAATGCCTCAATTGGCTTTCATGGTTCATCATATGCCTAAGAATACTCATGCCAAGTTTCAAGTCTTGGATCATAATTTTGCTCAATCAATGGATCAGATAACTAAAAATCAGCTATATTGGTTAAAAAGTCAACTGTGGTCAAACCATAGTCAAAATTCAAGATTTTTGGTCCACATCAATATTTTGAAGTCATATTCATCAATTGATCAAGATCTCATCACAATTCCTTAAGAAAAACAGTCAAATCATCAAAAGGGCAAATGGTCAAAATTAGGGTTTTTATTGAGAATGACCTTTCTAGTTCCGTGTCGGAAGGGCCTCCATTTGCGTAGTCTCGCGCAAGGCAGGCGAAACCAGATATGGTTGTAGATTCAAGAGCGAAGGAAGTGTAGCCTACGGTTAAGGGAAGCCGTCTGGGAATTTAGCATACGCCGTAGTGTAGCTACTAGTTCCAGCAGGTATTGGTGTCTAATCTCTCTTACTGGGATGGTTCATCTGGGAATAAGCTAACCCCTACCACGGCTTCAGCGCCTTAACGCAAGTAGTGTAGTCAGATAGTCCTGAGGTAGCCAACCGACCTTAACTTAACAATTACATTTCCTCAGTTGAGTTCTGAACCTCTTTCTCTTTTATATCCTTTCTTTTTGATTTTTATGTTAGATTCTTAGTAGCTGCTGTTTATTCAAGGATTGCATTTTATGTGCTCGAATGAAACTTTGGTTGGACGGGCGGGTCGAGGGATCTCAAAGAGAGGGTGCAGTTAGTCAGTACGGCAAGTAGAAAGCAGCTCAAATACCGGCAGGTAGAAAGGAAATAAGCTAGGCGATTACCGGAAAGTAGGCCAGTTCCGGTAGTGGTTACTTGATCAGAGAATCAACTCCTTGCTTCATTCTTTGTTCTGGTAATCTATTGTAGTTGTTATTAAACAACAGTATTCCCACCTCGTCTATCTATCCTTTAAAGCCGAAGGAGAGGAGTGAGGGGTTTACCAAGAAAGTATGATCCTTATGGGAATCATAGCTATGCCCAGGTAGTTTCATATTAGCAAGAAAATGGGTATTCTGAATGAATAAACGCTAAACGATATTTTATTGATATTGATATATTAATAAATCTATTGAATAAACAGGAACTAGCTCAACTTGTAGGGAATAAACAAGCTACCTTAGGGAAGATGCCTTAGTACAAGCGCTAAGCGAGTGAGTGAACTGCTCCCTCTACTTCCCTCTGGCGTATTTATCATTGAAAGTGTGTATGAAGACGAGGATAAAGACAGTCTGCGGCTGTATACTCAATCTCCACGGAGGAAGGATCATCTTGGGTTTCAAAGATCCAATCCAATTTACAGGTTTTACCACGACTGGCTCGAATCTCTTTATCTACGGCTAATCACCTCGTCTCCGGACTTATCATCTCCAGTATCTTCCGCATCCGAACTGGTTCACTAGACTTTAGGTGCTTTTTTGCTGTCTTCGAGGTTCGTTTCTCAGCAACTACCCCCCGGGATTCGTCTTCTCAGCTTTTGACTATCTCGAGTTTCTCATCTATGAACGTGCCGGTTCTGCTCTCCCCTTTTATTTTGGGTTGCCCAACCCTCCATAACTCAAATATTATTATCTCTTTAATTACGCTTCGCACAACCATCTTAACTCGCTCGGCCTCCTCAAAGAAGAAGTCTTATGTGTCAACTTCTCGCTTCAGCTCGCAGGCCTGCTGTGCTGCTCTTCAAGCAGATGCTTCTTTCTCTTCCAGCCCAAGCCCATCTTGACTCTTCCTCAAAAGAAAGGAAGGCTCAGAAGGACTCGCCCAAAGCAGAAATCTAATATACAAGATGGAATGGTTCATCAACATGCCTTGGGAGCATGAGAGCGCGACTGGGCAAACACTTAAATAAGATGTAGGGCTAACCTCCCCCAAAGGATAGGGTAAAAGTTTATTCCAATCTTTCGGATAAAACCTAACCGAAAATTTTGATTCTGGAAAGACCCTTCTTACTGGAAACCCATTATGACCTTTGTACCACCAGACACTTATGCCATTCAATCAAATGGAGAAGCAAATCTGTGAACTACCCCGCACTTCTTCTTCGTAAAAAGAACATGTTTCTCCTCGTAATAATCTTCGTAATCAGAATCTGGATACTGAATCTACAACATTCATGATCAGAGTCGACTGGACTGGAATGACATTGACGCAGAAACAGAATCAAGAGAGTAGGCAGAAGCTAGAACTGCTCGATCCGGCCAAGGTCAAGTAAATGGATCTCGTCCTCTTTAGGGGGCACAGGCTCTACATCCAATTCTTGAACTTACTCTCATCTCTTTACTCTTTGTTTTACGTTTATAGACAATTGGAAGAGATCTGAAAGAAAGATCTCCAGAACTTTCGGCGTAAGACAAAGTTTTCGGCGCAGGGAGCGGAGTTGGCAGGTAGCCCAAGCCTATGTTTTCTGAGATCGACGTACTGGCCGGCTAGCCAAGCTTCCCTTTCTTCTTCACTTAGATGCGGCTCGAGGGGTACTTTTCTGCCTCGACCGTTCTTCACGAAAGCCCGACAGGCTCCTCAAGGTCATAGCCCATGTCTTTCGCTTCTTTGCAATCGGACTGTACTTTATCTTTCTTATCTCACCATCGGTGACGATTCTTTCCAGCGTAGAATAAGACTTCCGGGCTACCCTGTGAAAGATGAGGAAAAAAACCTTCCATTGAGAGGACGAATGTCGCTCCACTCCATTAGGGTCCTCTTCCTGAGAAGGTTGCTGTAATGCAGGAAGTGGCATCTTTATTTACCGAGAGTTGAAGTAATTCCCCCAGCCCCAGTTTAGAGATTTCGTCAACGGGGTCATGCTCTTTGAGATAGCGTTGACCGTAAATCCCTTAGCTTTCGAGGGATTCGGAGAGGTCTACGAACCTGTGCTTCGGCTTTCGCTGGCGGGCTTTCGTCATCCATCACTGTCTGGGTCGTCGTTGTAAAGACGCGCATCCGTACAGACAGTATGCCTAGACTCCTTTAAAAAAGGGCTTATTGTCGGCAAATACCCAGTTTATCCCTTCTCATCAACGTATTTGAAGCATTGATGAAGGGTGGAAGGTACCACGCTGTGGATCCAAGCAGGAAGTTTAGGAGGTGTCACCGTCAATCACGTAAGAAGTGACCTCAGTCTTCAGATCCGCACACACAAGAGACGAATCTTGCCGATGGCTCTTTGCGAGTCGGCATTGTACCCCAGAATAGTAACCTTGGTCTGACTTAGCCGGCTCGTAGTAAGGAATTCCTAGATCGGCTAGGGCCCGCAGTGGCATCACGTTGATGGAGTCCCCAGGGTCCCGCGGTAGCCTTCTTTCTTTCGCCGATGTCACCGGTGAGATAAAATAAAGGGGCCGCTTATGTATGCTTATTCCTGTCCAGCAAGATGTCTTCTGTCGATAAGGTTATATCTGCACTCTGGACTTTCTTCATTGGTGCTTCCATGTACTCATCTTTGATGCTTTGAACTTCCACCCTGTTGACATGTAGGGCATACTTTTCTTTGCTTCCTTCCTACTACTAAGCTGCTTTCTTTATAGGCTAAAGCCTCCTATCTACGGTAGCTGACGCAGCAAGACCCGAGGAATCGGATACGGATCTTTTTCAGTCTCTTTCGCTGGGGAAAAGCAAAGAGGGAGGACTTTCGGAAGAAGGCGTCGTCCGCTGATGATCTTGAGGTTGGGAGGCAGGTCAGGGGGAGAACGAATGCTTGTGGATAGCCCGCGAATACTCCTTACTTAGGCTTTCCCCCCGGAAGAGCTGATGCTACTTACTAAGAGACTTCCGTTAGTGAGGAGAGAACTATAGGCTTTAGTCCAAAGACAGAGTCAGGGATTTCTTAACAATCTAGTCCCTCCTGAAATAAGACAACACAGGGGGTGGAGTGAGCCTAGAGTAGAATAAGACTCCCTCTTAGACTCTCAACTCATACCAGGGCGGGCAGGGAAAGACTGAGACTACCGATACCGAGTCGGGGTTGGATCACAGGATAGATACCCTATGGTTGGTCTCTATGCCTGCTTCACTTCGTAGCATTAAGGGGGCAGTGCCATGAGAGAAATCGACTAGGAACGCGATGTCTTCCCAAAAAATGAAGAGTGGAGGGGACTTCGACTGCCTTCTTGTATCGGGTGAAGAGAAGGGGGTGCTAGGCTTAGTAGGGCTCGAACCTACAATATTACCGTTATGAGCGGTACGTTTCAACCAATTAAACTATAAGCCCCTACGGATCTCTACATGCAATTCGCTCACTTCGGGAAGAGTGGACGGAAAGAGGAGGCCTTTGCTCTATCTGCTTCTTCCTCTTCCCAGGCCAGGAATGAACAATTTGATAAAAAAATTATTTTTTTCTTTGTTTGTATATATATAATAAAATTAAGATTAAGCAAGCGGCCCTTTCGTGACTCAAACTGCCGGTACGCTTTCCGTCTCGCAACGACTCAAACGGGCGGGGGCTATCTATTTGCTTGCAAAGCGGGCTGTTCGCCTTTCGGATTCGGAAAGGGCTCGCCTATTTGATTCAAAAGGCGCTACTAAACTACTCTAGTACAGCTAGTGTTAGTAGTACAACAGAATGCCGTTCACCCCGCAATCCCTTCTTCTTCAAGAGCTCCCTATTATCTAGCAGCCCCTTCTTTCACAGCTCCTTCTCAAGCACTTGCCATTGTCTGGAAATTTGCCTTGCCCCATTCTTCGATTATTGGCGCATCAATTCCTTGCCTTTGCTCTCATTGCTGCTTGAAGTCCAGTCTTTTAAGTGAAATCCCCAAAATGGAAAGTCAGTAGTCATTGTCGGGATGGAAAGCGACTCTTCAACCACTTATTTAAGCGCTATGCACCTAAGCTCAGTCTTTCTGGCAGCTATCTTGCTAAACCTAGATTCTTGCAGTTCCTTTTTCTTCTCTCTTTATGCTAGAAATCGTACTCATTCGACATCTAATTTCATGGGTTGGGCATACTTTAGCTCATTTTTATCTTTCTTTGACTTTGAGGAAGATCCCACGAATCGTCTTCTATCGACATCGTCTGCTTACTCTTATCGTACGCTCTTCTTACCCAACCAAAATCGTCTGGTACTTTGTCCGCTCTCCCTTTCCTGGTGAAGGAGAGAGAGTTTTACAAGCTGATGCAGCTAAGAAAGTATCGTTGAAAGCAGGAACGAAGACTGTGACGACTATTTGAACTAGTTTCAAAGGCTTGATTGACCCTTGGGAGTTAATCTGGCTAGGGTGCCCTCGTAAGGCGTAGGGTAGAGATTTGAAACCGGAGGCCTCTCCTCATCTAGTTCTTTTGTTACGCCGAGAAGAAGCAGAAAGAAGCTTGGAAGAAGAGATGGTCAATCTTCTCTTATCTTATGGGCGAGACTGCTAAAAAAGAGGCTCTTTAAAGCCAGAACGAGACCTCTCTTGCGGGAGGGATAGGCGGGAAAGGGGGAGGAGGTCTTCAGTAACTCCGTTTTTGAATTGGGTCACGAATGGTATTCGATTTCTTTTAACAGCATAAAAGCATTCGAACTTGGGAGATGCAAAAAAGAAGAAGGTTCTTTTGTATATTCCTTCTTGAAGATAGTACGCACAGGTGAGAACATCCCTAATCGAATGGCCTAGCTTTGCTTCTTCCTCTTTCTCTGCTTCGGTTTACCAAAGGGGGTGAGGTCGACCTTCTTTCGGTGGTACCTTTTCTGTCTAGCTCGTTCTCTTGGTCAAAAGCCACCTTAGTGGCCAAGAATAATAAGAATCTCCCGGGATGAGTGAGAGCTAAAAGAAAAGCCTAGCGGCAATTCCCGATCTTCTCTTGATAGAAAGATCATATCAACACCGAAGACAGATCGTAGTTACGATAAGAAAGGTATGCCGGTTGATGGATGTAGTTCATTCTAGAAGTTGTTTGTTAACCGAATATAATTGTTCGGTCGTGGTACTTTTGCTTGCTATTCAAACACATTGTCGAAAGGGGAAGATCGAATTAGCTCTGGTTCAAGAAGCCTAGCCTTCTTTCTTCGTAATTCTACTGAACGGGGTCGATCCACTTTACTATAAGTAAGTAAAATCGGAAGCCGTTTCAGGTGCATAAACAAAAAGGCGCCTTCGGATACAGAGGGGCTACTCTAGTCACTCAAAGTCCTAGCTAAGTAAGGAACAGACTCTCCAAACAGAAGTACGTACTGCGCGGCCGAGGAAGCATCCGAAGCATCTAAAGTCGAATAATCTGAATCCGTTGAATAGGAAGCCTTTGATCCGCTTTCTGAGAGCGCTGAATCATTCGATTCGAAAAGGGTGGAAAAAAGGTCATAGCACCAGCACCTGAACGCTTACTCTTACTGCTTCAGGTTCACCTCTTTTCTTAGGATTGGCTGCCCTGAGGTTCTTTTTTGGAGTCATTCATTTGTTTATCACAGAACAAGTCCCCCTCAGTCACTGCCATAGTTGACCCAGTATCAACCCTCTCTTCCAGATCCTCGCTTCTATGGGCCAAATCACTATCCTCGCTCGTTAAACTCTCACCTTGACTACACCCTTCTCGGCTTTGTTACCCAGACACTCATCCTGAGAAATCTCTTCCGGTTCAGCAGTGTCCAGCTCCCCCCCTTTGCCATTGTCACTACTGGTACCTGACCCCGTCGGCTCGACATTTTTGCAAACACTGACCCTTACTCAATAGGGCAATGAAAAGAGGAGAACGAGGACAGCTGACTACCGCTAAAAGTCAGACTACGAGTACACATTGTATGATTGAAAACTGCCGCTGCGTACTACCCGGTGCTTGCAGGTCTGACTGGTGTCTTCTCTCCAACAACTGCTTCAATCAATGTGAAGTCTGACTACTCAGCTTGCTTAACACAAGTGTGATTTAACCTTCATGGACCACTTAACTACCCGGCGAGCTCCGGCTCGAAAACAACAAGCAAGGGATTGAGCTGCGCGAAAGCCTAAACTCCTGACTCTCACTTCACCCCTCTCCAACCAGTCGAGTGGCATTAGCCCCTCTCCCAGCAAGAGGATGCGCGAACCTCCAAGTAAAGCGCGCTAGCGCGCTTGACCAAGGCTTTCTCTGATAGGGGCTCGCCATTGCTTGTTTGGGTCGAGCGTCAACCTTAGCGCATCCGTTTTATTGCTCCTTAGCACAAGCACTAAGTAAGCCCGTGAAGGAAAGGCCTTCGCGTTAGTAAGCTAGCTTTGTAAGGTAAGCTAAGCAAGCCTGGTTCTCCGGGCACTACGGTAGGACGTGGATCGATCATGACGAAAATGGACTTCTCCGTAATGTAATAGAAGAGTCACAGTCCAGTTCCCCGGGCTTTATCCCTTCTCGACCAGACGAAGGAGATATTAATTAAATTCAGGCGGGTAAGGGCTTGGCTTGACTCTGTGTTCTCTCCTGGTCGGGTCAGAGGCGAAGACTGGCAAAGTTCATCATTCAGTGGTGGGGTGTTCATAGAAAAGAGGGCGTCGCCCAACGAGTGGCAGATTAGATTTTTCTGGAGTCTTGCTCATAGATAGAGGACGAGTACGCACGCTAGCGCGCTACGGCTTACGCAGTTGATCGGATCAGATAGCCCTTCGGGCAACCAACCGCACATCAAATTCCGATCAACAACTTGGAGGTATGGCTGAGTGGCTTAAGGCATTGGTTTGCTAAATCGACATACAAGAAGATTGTATCATTGGTTCGAATCCCATTCCCTCCGGCACAGAAGTGGAACGGGCGGGCGAAATTACGTGAGAGAAAGAACCTCTTGGTGTATGTGGAGTCCCCCGGAGGACAGAATAGCACTACTTAGTGAGCGGAGAGCCCGTTGCGCGTTTTTTTGACCGACCTATCTTATTTTTATAAGCAAGCTCCCTCCGGCAGTCCCTGGGCGGATCTCGGTTCTTGAGCATGTTGGGAGAGGAGATTAGGCGGCAGTTGAAAGAGCTGCTCGAAAGCTTGACGAACAAAAAAAACCCTTTCTTTCTTGTTATTAGTAAAGGGCTTTTCCCTGACTAGTAAAGTGGTAAGTAAGGTAGGGCGCTATTCGATGAAGAAAACATACTTTAGGAAAGTGGTTCAGGTAGCTCAGCTGGTTAGAGCAAAGGACTGAAAATCCTTGTGTCAGTGGTTCGAATCCACTTCTAAGCGGGCTTTGGGTCCAAAGGACAGGTAGCCGAGCCGGGTTTTATTAAATTAAAGTTAATTAAAGAGGAAGCCAAAATCAAATGTGAGCGCTCCTGCACTATACGGCTTTTTGGCGTCGCCCTATCTTGTCTTGCTGGAGTGGAGGCATATTTTATAAAAAAAGCGGTTGATTAGGTTATCGCGTCCCTATGCCCCAAAAAAGGATGGGCGAGTTCGGTTCGAGTGTTCATCGATCGGGTGGATCTATATGCTGATGGGGTGAGACGAGGTGTAGCGCAATCTGGTCAGCGCATCTATTTTGGGTACAGAGGGCCATAGGTTCGAATCCTGTCACCTTGATGTGATGGGCTGAAAGTGCACAGCTCGGCACAGCCTCTTTAGGCTGGCGAAATTTAGGCACAATTTATTACAAAAAGCAAATGAACTATATTCTTCGATCCATGCTTTTTGTAACTTCCACGGGTTTTGCGCATCAATGGGTTCTTTATTCTGATCACCCATTCTTGAAGAAGCTTTCTCTCTCTTTTGGTTGGTTTATCTGATAAAATTTTGATCTTCTGAGTCAATACAATCATATCTTTAGCTTCTGTGGATGCTGTTTCTCGGGGAATTTATGCTGCTGATCCAAGGTTGATGCACTAGAGATGGAGAGGATGCTCGTGGTGGGGCTTCTTTGTGTGCACCCAGACTCTGAGAAGAGGCCAAGAGTTAGAGATGCTGCTAGGATTATTAATTGTTTGTGTATGTGCAGTCCTTCTGTGTGTAGAACATTGGCTCATGCGTCCAGTCCAATGGGTGGCACCTGACTGTTCCCAGTTCAGTTGGAACAGAAGTCACCAGCTTTCATTGGCGGGAAGCTGACTGATGTCTTCCTAGTTGACGATAATGCTAAACCTGTCACGACCGTAGTGGGTCAAATAGAATGATTCCTATATTACCTTGCATAAAGAAAGCAGCTCGGTCTATGAGTCCAAGATATCCGTACCTGTCAAGTGGAAGAGTCAGAGTGGCAGAGTCTTGGAGAGCGCAGAGTCTAATCTGGTAAATATCTCCTAGAATAAGGCGGAGAACGGATAATAACTCGGCAAATGTCCGATTTCGGAGATAAGTGTGCCTTTCTTTTGATCAATAGAACAGGAAGAGGAGTCAGCCAAAAAGAAAACAAAAAGTAATGACCACCAAGATACGCATAGTGATTCGATCTTTTGATCACCCTTTTTTGGAAAACCATTTTGGGGGGCTTCCGCCTTACACACGGAAGATTGGATTGCCTGAATCACGAGTCTTATATACTGTGTTACGATCACCTCATATTGATAAAAAGTCCAGAGAACAATTTGAAATGGAAATCAAGAAAAAATATCTGGTCATAAAAACAGAAAAGCATGAATTGCGAAATAAGTTTTTTCGGTTAAAACGCCGTGCGACTCGGAGGACATAAGACTTCTTGGTCAAGCCAAAAAGATTGCCGGCAGAATGCTCCTACCCCACCATGCCTGGCCCTTTACCTTACCTTAAGAATAAGGGGGTATGCAGCGTGGGAAAGAATTAAAGAAGTGTCTGATACAACAGGTAACCTTAAGGAGTGGCGGCAAAGCTCTTGATTGATCAACGCGAGTGAACTGTGCTTAGACGCTTCGTAAAACCGCACCGATCTATGAGAGGAGCTGATGGATGAGTAGGCTTCCCCTTTCGATTTACGGAATGTGATCTAGGACACGATGGGGGTTTGCGTGCCTCGGTAGGAAAGAGATCACCGGAGTATAGCACAAGATCGCCTTTTTTTTCTTGCTGCCATGGGGTCGACCTGTAAACAAGGTAAACCCAATGGGAACCAAAAACGGGAGGGTACCACATTGACATTGGGCAGAAGACGATCCAAAAAGCGAAGGCTCACCCTGCTGAAGGCGATCGGCAGTGAGGGATGCTTACCTTCTTCTTAGAGAAAGGGGAAAGGGGCAACCTATCTTACTAATAATAAGAAAGGGGGTGAGATAGGCGACAGGTAGCTTGCTTCCAAGCCGGCCCGGCCGCGAGGAATCAAGAGATCTTTGCCGGTGCTGACTTGGATCTCGGGTGACGGAAAAAGGCGCCCAGAAGTGACGAGCAGTCGCGGTCGAAGCTTGGCTCTAGGCGATAGGCTAGCAGTAAGCTTGGCTACAGCGAAGCGCTTACCAAGCGCGAAGGATTCGTTCCTCTCTCCCAGCAAGAGGATGCGCGAACCTCCAAGTAAAGCGTGCTAGCGCGCTTGACCAAGGCTTTCTCTGATAGGGGCTCGCCGTTGCTTGTTTGGGTCGAGCGTCTTCAAACCTTCGCCACTTGAGCCGTATGCGGGGGAACTCGCACGTGCGGTTCTTAGGGGGGAGAGCTAGTAGGAACCATCCTATCCCAATAGCGTTTATTTGGAGCTCAATATGAAATCCTATTTTTTTGCAAGACCCGTTCGGATAAGGGAAAACTCCAGAGATTGCTTCGAAGTAAGATCCTTGCGTTGACCCTTTCCTGAACCATAACCGGGGGGGAGAGGAAAGAAAAGGGGATCAAAATTTCCCATCAATAAAGTGAGGGCTTTCCGGACCTTCCCCACCCCTCTTTTCATTCTCCCTTCCCCTCTCACTCCCCCTTTTTCAAGAAGGAAGCCCCGCTCCCTAAGAAGGGGCCCCTCTCTGATAAGGAAGGAAACGAAAGAATCTCCATTTTATGACAAATCCGGTCCGATGGCTGTTCTCCACTAACCACAAGGATATAAGGACTCTATATTTCATCTTCGGTGCCATTGCTGGAGTGATGGGCACATGCTTCTCAGTATTGATTCGTATGGAATTAGCACGACCCAGCGATCAAATTCTTGGTGGGAATCATCAACTTTATAATGTTTTAATAACGGCTCACGCTTTTTTAATGATATTTTTTATGGTTATGCCGGCGATGATAGGTGGATCTGGTAATTGGTCTGTTCCGATTCTTATAGGTGCACCTGACATGGCATTTCCACGATTAAATAATATTTCATTCTGGTTGTTGCCGCCAAGTCTCTTGCTCCTATTAAGCTCAGCCTTAGTAGAGGTGGGTAGCGGCACTGGGTGGACGGTCTATCCGCCCTTAAGTGGTATTACCAGCCATTCTGGAGGAGCAGTTGATTCAGCAATTTCTAGTCTTCATCTATCTGGTGTTTCATCCATTTTAGGTTCTATCAATTTTATAACAACTATCTCCAACATGCGTGGACCTGGAATGACTATGCATAGATCACCCCTATTTGTGTGGTCCGTTCCAGTAACAGCATTCCCACTTTTATTATCACTTCCGGTACTGGCAGGGGCAATTACAATGTTATTAACCGATCGAAACTTTAATACAACCTTTTCTGATCCCGCAGGAGGGGGAGACCCCATATTATACCAGCATCTCTTTCGGTTCTTCGGTCATCCAGAGGTGTATATTCCAATTCTGCCTGGATCCGATATCATAAGTCATATCGTTTCGACTTTTTCGGGAAAAACGGTCTTCGGGTATCTAGGCATGGTTTATGCCATGATCAGTATAGGTGTTCTTGGATTTCTTGTTTGGGCTCATCATATGTTTACTGTGGGCTTAGACGTTGATACCCGTGCCTACTTCACCGCTGCTACCATGATCATAGCTGTCCCCACTGGAATTAAAATCTTTAGTTGGATCGCTACCATGTGGGGGGGTTCGATACAATACAAAACACCCATGTTATTTGCTGTAGGGTTCATCTTTTTGTTCACCATATGAGGACTCACTGGAATAGTCCCGGCAAATTCAGGGCTAGACATTGCTCTACATGATACTTATTATGTGGTTGCACATTTCCATTATGTACTTTCTATGGGAGCCGTTTTTGCTTTATTTGCAGGATTTCACTATTGGGTGGGTAAAATCTTTGGTCGGACATACCCTGAAACTTTAGGTCAAATCCATTTTTGGATCACTTTTTTCGGGGTTAATCTGACCCTCTTTCCCATGCATTTCTTAGGGCTTTCGGGTATGCCACGTCGCATTCCAGATTATCCAGATGCTTACGCTGGATGGAATGCCCTTAGCAGTTTTGGCTCTTATATATCCGTAGTTGGGATTCGTCGTTTCTTCGTGGTCGTAACAATCACTTCAAGCAGTGGAAATAACATAACAAGGGCGAACATTCCTTGGGCTGTTGAACAAAATTCAACCACACTGGAATGGCTGGTACAAAGTCCTCCAGCTTTTCATACTTTTGGAGAACTTCCAGCTATCAAGGAGACGAAAAGCTATGTGAAGTAAAAGAAGGAAGAAAAGGTCGCCGACTGCTACTAAGAACCTAACATAACTTTTCAAAATGTGGGTTCCAACGAAGAAGAGTTGAGGACCAACTTCGACCTAATTTAAGAGTTAAGAAAGCAAGCTCAGTTCAGAATGGCTACTTACCAACAGAGGATAGCGAGGTACTACAAGGCCTGAGTTAAATTTTGAAATTTGATCAAGCTGAGCCGGAGCTGCTCCTACTGACTATGACTGGACATCAGTGGACTCTTTCTCAAAGTCTGACCCTGCCACCTATATTTGATGAAGCAACCATCACTGAAGCCATTTTTTTTGTAGCCAGCTCAACTCCATTTAACAGGTTAGTAGCGAAAGGTAAGGCTTCATTCCCGAGTGGACGAGAAGAGGGAGCAAGCCCTATTAAGGTTAAGGGAAGAGGCTATTTTACTAGACTAGCTACCGAGCTGACTCAAGGAAGCTGGAAAGAAAGGGCCTCAAGACAGCTTCGGCAACATAAAGTCGAGCTGAGGAATACGGAAGAGAAGCGGATTCAACTAAATCTTAGCCTAAGAGCTGTTCAAAGAAGAGAATCAAAGGTCAACGGCCAATGGAGGATTTCCCTCCACCGGATTCATCTTAAACCGACCGATATGCCGAGATGACATCCAACACGAGAGCAAGAAAAGGAAATGGTCTCCGTGCAGCTTCAAGTCACGCCACTCTCACCAAGATAGAATCATGGTCACATCTGTAGTATATATATAGTTTATAGAAGCGGAATGCCAATCGACACTGGTAGCCATCGGGATTGAGTTCAGCTGCTTTGATGATACTGACAAATGGAAGAACGAATTAATCAGATGAGCTCAAGTCTGGACTCTCATTGGTCAAACAGGCGCAACGGGCCAAGAGATAATAAAAGGACACCTGAAGAGCAAGAAAAAGAGCTGTATGATAAGAGTCCTTATCCTACCCACCCTATTTATTTAGTTTATGGGAGTAGCAAGAACAGCTCCATTTAAAAGGTTAGCCGCGTACCAAAGAGCTCGATCAGCTATTCTATTTTTCAGTCCGGTTGACGCCACTCGATAGGAAGAAAAGAGCATAAAGGTTTTTCGAAGGCTTCAAGCCCTGTTTCAGCTGAGAGCATTGATTCCCCTGGCACCTCTCTTCCACAACTTGGCACGTTTAAAGAAGGTGCCTACACTAAAGTGTACAAAGTGGCATAAAGTTATTCTTTTCGGGTTCGGTCAGGAGGGACAAAAGAGAGATGCTTTCTATCAGTCAAAAGCGGATATCGCCCCCCCTCATGCTCCCACGGTCCGCTTACCGAGGAATAGAAAGGGAGGACCGGGGGCCAGAGCAAGTTGGGTTGGGGTATAGAGCCGTAAGCGCGGTGGGGGGGTTACAGAGGACGTGCTCGTACGGTTCAAAGAAGGGTATGATCAACTCGTTGTTGGGAACTTTCACTCCTCTATATTCGAAATATGCCTTTCTAGGAGCATTACGATCTGCAGCTCAAATGGTCTCTTATGAAGTCTCTATTGGTCTTATTCTTATTGTGCGCCTTGTGAGTGCGTTTGGATCCGCGAAGGCAATCACTCGGATGTTCCCCTAACCCAATCCGGGAACGGACCGGAGGGAACCGCAACATGGGGGATGTCTGCGTCTCGTCGCAAGGCTCATTTGTAGTTTTTGGTTTAAGGGCGGATTTATCTGATCAAGGGCCGGGGCACAAGGGTCCTGGTACTATCCAGGTGCGAAGAACCCCGGAGGTGACTGCAATGAGCAGAAATCTAACTAACCGGCCTAAACGACGAGCAAACACTCGAACGTGAGAGCAAGGGATCACCTAACGAATGGACGAGCTCCAAGGAGGGAGGAAAGAGGAAGGCAAGAACCATGCTTTCAGAGAAGTGGCGGTCCGAATCTTATCTGAACTGCGATAATAACTGACTAAGCCATGCCATAAGGGTCATTCTCCAAACGGGACGGGGTCAAGCCTTTAGATTTTTGAGTAGGTTGGGTGACAGATCGGCCATAGGAGTACTCCGGGATATAAACCAGGGCAACCAATGTCGAGCATACGACGATGCCGCCCGTTTTCATTTCGTGGAAGTCCCCGGCAGAGGAAAGGGCTGTAGGTGATGGCGCATTCTGCTTCTTATCTAGATAGGGGCGCTGAAATCGTTCCTATTGGGTCGTGCGTGGGGCAGCTGGTATAGATGAATAAAGGCGGGCCGCTTCAACGGGACCTATTCTCTTAATAGGCGGCAAAGCTGAATAGGAAAGGGGCCGAGCTGACTGATGAGTTTTTAGCCTTAAAAAAAGGGCTCTCTCATGTGAAGCTAACATGGCTGGCTACATACAAGTATAGCCAAATCAAGATGAGACGTAACGGACGGTCAGAGGCCACAGCGGGACTATCATAGGAAAGCCTGCCCCCGCTAGCTAACATAGAAAGAGATTCCCGGATAGCAAAAGTATCTATGTGAATCTCTTCCCGACCAGGCCAGGCCGAATCGGGCCACCACTTGGGATGGGAATGGCTCAGCCCATATGCATCATTTGATGAAAGCACTCCAGTCGCTTCCTCGAAGTGGCTTGTCAACCACGCTTTCCCTCCCTCAAAACAATGCTCCTCACCAACCTTAACGGCCTTGGGTTGGGGCAAGACTGCAATGAGTAGTTCGCTCCAGGACCCCACCCCCTCGAGAGCTGGATGCCGGCCGAGATTTAGCTGGGAGCCAGACTTTCCTGGGGCTTGCCTTGCCCCTACATCTAAAAAAAATGCGGGCGCCGAACCGAAAAGGAACCAGCCTCTTCAAGAAAGCTTTGCTTGGTAGGCGCTGCCTATTCACTCGAACAATGCTCTAAACACGAAAGTGTGACGTGACGCCCTCTTATCCCATGCTGAGTCACAGGCAGCGCCTCGGAAAGCGCGGACGAGCCACATGCAGGGAAACTTGCACGTGTGGTTCTGGCCGGGGACCTCGGTATACTGTACTAATATGTGTAGGTCCCCGTAATTCGAGTGAGATTGTCATGGCGCAAAAGCAGATATGTTCTGGTATTCCCTTGTTCCCTGTATTGGTTATGTTCTTCATTTCTCGTCTAGCAGAAACTAATCGAGCTCCGTTTGATCTCCCAGAAGCGGAAGCTGAATCAGTTGCAGGCTATAATGTAGAATATGCGCGGGATGCGATCCTTAATAGTCCACTGTTGGCGGAAGCCAATGTCCCGGGGTCCCGGGGACTCATTCTGACTGAAACAAGGGGTGGGTCTTTACCAACTTAAAAATCTAAGATTTTAGGTAAGCCAAAAAACGTGAGCGCCCCTACGCGAGCCTTATTGAAAACTCAAGTTCATTTTTTATTTTATATGTATTCTATTAATGCGCTCAAGCATGCGAAGAAAGCTACAAGCGAGAAAAGCCCTTTCTATGTTATTAGTAAAGAGCTTTTATTGCTTGTTTAGTAAAGTAACGCTTTTAATTTTGATAGGAGTAGGTGCTTGCTGGGGCACTCTTCATTCTTCATTCGAAACTAATGAATGTCGGGGGTTTCTGCCTTGTTATCAAAAAGGGAGTTGGGTAAAGCAAACTCCCTCCTTGGACGAGCACGGGGCTTAGTCAAGTAGAACCGGGTTGCGCTGCTTGATGCTCCGATCGAAAACAAATCAGTGGGGCCATGCCGGTACGAGTGAATATGCGTTAAAAAGGTAAATCCCTCCCCTACGACACCAAAAAAAACCGGGCCGAACTTCTAACAGCCCGCCCGCTTCCATAGAACAATATCGTGGCAACGTAGACCTAAGTGGTCATATATATTGGATCTTGGGGAACCATCACAAGTGCGACCGGCCTATATTTAAACGAGAATGTCGTGTCGTCCAGCGGAGCCTAGAAGAAGGTGACTCGCGCAGACAGCTGACTCCTTCTTTTCAATAGAAAGGAATAGCCAAACCAACCCAGCTGGCTGGTCAATCTCAGAGATCTTATCGGCCGGCAAACCTGAGACGGACGACCACGGTCCCGACCTTATCAGCACCGGAGGTGTACTAATCAATGAACCCACCCCCGAAACCTACTTTCTTTTCTGACAAAATCCACCAAGCCTAACCGGTCACGACATGTTGTTGATATTGATTGAGTTTGAGGGACTTTCGCTGACAAAATCCATCAATAAACCTAGACCCCGGCTACTTTCGTAACCAAAGCGTCAAGACAACAGCCAAAGGTCACCTTTGGATTCTTAAGTAGGGGGCAAAGAGGAGCACGTAGGAATGCCACTACATAAGCCACTGGTGGCTGAGAGAAAGCGAGCAGCACCTTGTATAGGTTGGGCGGAGCTTGAAGAAGCGATCCCCTATCAGAGAAAGCCATTGCGCGCTAGCCTAGCTAGCTAGCGTTTTTCAGCTGGCTGTTATGTTAGTTGTAGCGCGCCTTCCCTCCTTCTCTCACTTCGGAAAGATTTCGCAGTATTTTCTTATGATGACCTGGTCGAGAGAGTACGATACATCGGTGTAAAAGATGGAGTGGGATCTGTGAGGTTGGTTATAGTCAGGCCTGGCCGGAAAGTCTTCTTGCCTCTATCATTGAAGGAAAGGTTGGTCAACAATTTGGAGAGTTTGCTTTTATTTCATCTTTCTAAGAGCAGTCTGTTTGATCAAATCAGGGATCAGACCGCTCCTGGTGTTCGAACTAGTCATTAATGGTCGGCTTCATTGGTATCCTTTCGGTATGCGTTGCGAACACTTTCATTTTTAGCGTCTCATCTTATCTAGAGAAGCGAAACTCGAACGGATAGAGCAGATGGTCCAACTACATAACTTTTTCTTTTTCATTACTTCTATGGTCGTGCCTCGTGGCACGGCAGCACCCTTACTATTGAAATGGTTCGTCAGTAGAGATGTTCCCACAGGTGCCCCTTTTTCCAATGGGACTCTAATTCCTATTCTTATCCCTTCATTCCCTCTTTTGGTCTATCTACATTCCAGGAAATTCATACGCTCCATGGACGGAGCAAAAAGTGGAGTCTTGGTCAGAGCAAGCCGCCCTATTCTATTACCAGACATAATTGGGAGAAGCTCATCCGAAACTAGAGCTGGAAACGCCTCATTTCGTTTCGTTCCCGTTCTTCATTTCCTTCTTATCGAATCCAAGGGGGACTTCTCATATTTCGAATCTTTCTGCGGTGTGCTCTGTTTACTATTCTTTCGTACTCTCTTCTCTTTACCACGCGATAGGTCAGCAAAGCGTGAGCGGGCGCGGATAAGGATACACCAAAGACTTCGGCCTAACCCTAACGGGAATGAGCAACAACAAAATGACAGGATGGGGTGCCCCGGGCACCCCCATTTAGAAAGAAGGGTCGAAGGTTTTGGGCCTGTAGCTTTCCCCGTCCCCCCTTCGTCGGGTGGTGCTTGTGTGGGGGGTGTGCCACCTGAACCTGAAATCGGGCTTGAAGCTCTCGCCTTACCAACGAGCCGACAGCTGATGGCTGTTGGTCACGACTACCACCAAAAAGCTCCAATGAAGATGAATATTTCACATTTTGGAGTGTGCATCTGTATGTTGGGTGTTCTTCTGTCGTGCGACCCGGCGGCTTATGTGCGACCTGTGGCCCACGCCTCCTATTTGTTCGGGGCGGGCGGAGTGAACTCTGACTCGATCCGGGTATTCAATCCCGCCGCTGAGATGCTCAGTTGACTCCTTAACCTTGATAGGAAGATGGCTTATTCAATAATTCGTGTATAAGGGTAAGGAACTTTGGATGAACTAATGCGAATGGGTGTAAGCCTCGCAGCTCGGAAACACCCAGTGCTGACCACACTGAGAGAGACGAAAGCGCAGGTAATGCCAGTTGGCGAAGTGGCGTTAAGAATCCCTAGCGGTACGAAAAGAGAGGTCGTGATGATATCATTTACGTCCGTACCACTCCTCGCGGAGTAGATCCCGCATCCAACCAAGTCTTTGACCAGGGAACGGGAAAATTACCACTACTGCTGGAAGGCCAGCCGGGCCGTGAGCGCGGTGGGAACGGGCTTCCTAAAAAGCCAGCCCCGGGCCGGGGTCGGCATAGAATGAAGGGGACGGCCCTAATGTTGTGTTTGCAAAGCAAACTTATTGGGTTGCGGGCGGAGAAGAGCGGACGTGGGGACTCAGACCGGGGCGCAACGTAACTAAGAGAGCCATTCCATTTAGGGCGAGACAGAGTGGGCGGGCACGAGTGGTCTGGTGTCCGAGCCAATTGGTCAGACGACGACTACTTCACTTATTAGATTAGTATCCGCTGCCTATCCCGAAAAAAAAAGGGATGAAATAGAAAGAACGCGAAGCGCTAGCGCTATAGTATATAAATGGATTTTGGGGGGGATTTGCTTCTTCACAAGCTTATCCCCGCCCCGGCCGGCAGCTGCTGGGTCTCCCCATCTCTCCTAAACTTCCCCCGGTCTTCGGCCCGAGCTGTATGAGGCAGAAACTCGCCCCACGTACGGTTCGGAGGCCGAGCCCCACCCCAGCAGTAATGGTGCGGCTAAGGTCAACTAACACAAAGAAGATACAGTTCACTCAATGATTGCCTTTGGGTTTCGAACTCCATATGGGGAAGGAGCGTTGTTGTTTCCGAGGTCTCGATCATTTACATGGACCCACTTCTCATTCCATTTGTGGGAATTTTCTGATCTATAAACCGTCCCTAACGAACGATCGCCTCATGTTTGAGCATGATGAATCACTTCGTGCCGACCTGTTGCCAATAAACTTTCCGGCCTCATATGAGAATGGAAAACTGGATAATTTTCTGCATCGGTGGATGAAGAATAGCGAAAATAATAATTTATGGTTGACCATGTTCCCAGAAAAAAGATACTTTAGAGAAACAACGAGCACGACTGAAGTGGCTATACATACAAATCCATTTACGGATAGATATGCTTCGATTGGAACTGGAAGTTCCAGAACAGGCGGCTGGTATACCACCATAATTAAACTGCCTTTTATTTTTTTTATTCGGATGGGATTTATGTTGGCTTCGTCGGGAGGCTCGCGTAGTTTGTTACGTCAGCTCCAAAAGGATAAGTTGCGTTGGAATCGATAAAGTTCCGTGGAATTCTTAATTGCATTAAAAAAATCAAAGGAGTCTTCAACCCTCTCAATCAATAGAGGCTAGATCGGACTAAGGAGAGAGACGGTTGAGTACGGAAGCGAAAGCGGAGATATAGGCTAGCTAAATGCCCTGTGATAATACTGACATGAGTCAGGATAAATCCGAATGACTAGTGGCCATAACTCATTAAGCAATCTTAACCTTTTTCTCTTAGCCTTTCCTCTTTCTACCGTTACGAGATGCAGTATCCTCTAACGTCTTTGCTTGGAATTCCGGTGTTCAGCCCGCGGCTGAAGCAGAGAACCGCACATCTTCCCTCGAGCAAGGAGAGGGTCTCGGAGCACATAGAGGAGCAGTCTGTTTATAAGGACTTTTTGAGGGATCGCTTTCAGCTGGATCGAGCTCTCATGCTGATCGGAGGAATGCCAATCTCTCTTTCTTTTCTGAGAAAGCACTATTTTTCTCTTTGTTGCAAAGTCGTCTTATGATTCCGAATTCCCTTCTTGAAGGTTGCGTCATCAGAGAAGGTCCTTGTTCTGTTCTGGCAGTCAGAGTGATGGCTCCTCATCCTCGACAGAGCAATGTTAGGTTTCCGGAGGTGAGGTTAACAGAAGGCATGTTCCCATCCATAAGCAAGGAATTAAAAGGCCGATAATATCTACTAACGACTGTGGTTCGGGGGAAGATGTAGGAATCGATAAAGTCTTCATCTTCCAGAAAAGATGCTGGGTGAAGGTGAATCGCCTTCAAACTGAGGATTCACAATGACTTTGACTCAGACTTCCCTTCCTAAAAGACAAAGGAGTAGCGGGGTTCGCTAGCCGACCTTGCCTGAAAGTACTTTTCTCTGACGCTTAAGGGGTAAAGAATAGCTTCGCTGAAACTAATGCTTTTTCCCTTGCTGGCTTTCCACCATTCAAACTTGGTTACTTCCTACGCTATTCGCCGACATTTAACTATTCTCTCGACATTCTTCTTCATTCAGATACTATTAAAATCTTTGAAGGAGCTGGTTGGTGATGCTCTTCCCATGGTTTACCACCGATGAGGAGTATTCTGCATGCCATCGACCTAGTACCTGGTGCTAGTTTCCCAAACCTGCCTGCTTATCGAATGCTACCTGCCTTTTAATTTAAGCCCCTTGCGCTAACATCGTTCAGTTCCCGGGCCCCTATCATCTGGGGATTCTATTTTCATACGTAGTCTTTCAACACTTGATTCAATGGTGTCAAGCTCCTTCTGCTTTGATGCTTCGCTTAGCGCTACTACTCCTATGATATTTATTTATTAAGTGCATGGCTGCGGGCAGGAGGTAACAAGAAAAAGAAGGTCTTTTTTCACTAACTAAAATCCCTCTTTGGATGAACATTTCATGGGATTCTTCCAATACTTACTGAGAACTAGTACACCACCTTCTATTCTTAGCCGCAGAGAGCCCTCGTCACTAATTTATGGTGATTATGTATTGGCTTAGCCACACCGGTCAAGGGCCATTGGGAGACTACTAAGGAGAAAGTCTTCAGCAGAAGACTCACAAAGGGATACTGACAAGGCCAAAAACAAAATTTGGATTCGGGTGCTCTTGCCGAGGAAGAATGGAATGATTCTTGCCACTTTTTATTCCCTTATGCCGATGCTGACTCTGATCGCCTTGAATACTATCCTTTCCTTTCCTTAGGAATAGCAGGAAAGATCAGATCCATGAAGACTATGGGTCAGGGGTCAGGATATTTAGTTAAACCCGCCCCAGTCTTTAACCTGGGAATAAAATATTTAAAAAAGATCCTCCCGGAAAAGCTTGAACGTGTCGAGCAGAAGTCTTTCCAAAGCCAAGTATGGTTAAGCTTCTTGTCCCACCTCCTAATGGAAACTCGGTCTTTTTGTCCGACATGCCTAGAGAGCCTCTGACTACACTTCATGCCAGATCCTTGCTTGGGTTATCCTTTATCATTTTTTATAAGCTAGTTCACCTTATTTTTTTGGAAGACTCGGCTTGTCCATTAGCCTGAGCAAAGGTGTTGAGTGAATCATTTCAACAAAAACTAGATATATTAGCAAACTCTTTTACTTGATCACCTGTGAAGACTCTACCTTGATCGGCAACCAAGGAAAAGGAATCTGAAGCTACTTAGCTACACGTCGAAGGTATTCTTCAATATCCTGATCTCGAAATTGCGTAAGATAAAGAAGCTCTTCGTCGAATTAAAACAAGGGACTTTGAAAAAGGTCTCATCAGGAAGGACGTAAGACAACATGATCCGAGGAAAAAAGGCTCTCATCAATACCGTGGGAACCCGAATTCAAAATAGAAAGCTCGGTGCAGCTACACACCTGCAAGCTTCGGTAGCTGAAGAAGAGTTGTTCTCGCAGGGAAAAGAAAGATGATTTACCAAGGGTATCCCTAAGTAAAGATGTCGAAGTCCAAGGTGTCGAAATTACACGGGAAAGCCCACTATCTTGTTCTTACTAACCCAGCAGCCTAAAGGACCTTAGAGTTTGCAAGGTCACCAGCAGTGGTGTGAGGGAGCCACAAACAAATGCTGCCCTATTCTTTCACAAGAAAGACTTATATTGAAGATCCAGTCTCTTTTCGTTGTAGGAAACCGTCGAAATAGCAAAGACAGAGCTGACGGTTTTTCCTCAATCAGCAACTGCCTAAGAAAACGGCCCCCCATGTTTATTTTGCCTCATATGAAACACAAATTGCAACATTAAAACGCTTTACAAAGTTAGGCCCTAAATACGCGAAAGCAAGGCGGGGCTTTAACTACTTTTAATCCGCCTATCTTTATAAGTTAGAGCTTGAGTTTGACTCCTTTTCTTCAATCTTAGTTTCTCTTTATTTCTACCTTTTTAGGTATTTTCTATCTTATTTGTCAGCAATTCAAGGAATTGGATTTCTTTCATGCCTTACTTTCAAAGGTTGGGTTCTCTCTGGGCGGTCGAGCCCTATCCTTTGCTCTAAGAGGGTTGGGCTGCTCAGCAGGGCTTGCCTTGACTGTAGACTTTACTTTACAAGCGCTGCTCACATACCAAAACCATATGATGCCTCTCGGCGAGGGGACATCAGGCTCTGAGTCTCCGGCATCTCAGTCGGACTCCCCATGCCTCCTCGGAAACGGATTCAGACGGATCTCCACCACAATCCGTCTCGTCCCCTGGGAGCGTCACCGCTGCGGAGGTAGAAAGTCACACGCGGGATGATCCTAACTCTAATTTGTTTTCGGAGGAACACTTAGACCGATTGCGACAGGATAACCGACGCCGTCTGCAAGAGAACGCCAACCTCCTTAAACAAGCGGAGGCCGGGCTTCGACGGCAAGAGGTTTAATATCATAAAAGCACGTGACGCCCATAGAGATGAAGCAGCGCGCGTCCAAAAAGAAGAACTCTTACAATCAACTGTAGAGTTCATTCAAAGCAACCGCCACCTATTTGAGGAGTAGCGGCGTGGCGCTGCTGGGTGCTTCTGATCAATAGAACAGGAAGAGGAGGAAAAAACTGAACGACGTTTGGGCTTGATCTTGTTGTACGTCGGAAGCCGGGGTCCGCCCGGTCCAGCCCCAACCTTACGTCTATCTCTATATACGAATATAGAAACAACCTTCCAAAGCCAGGAGTGAGGTGGAAGAAGACTTGGGAACGGGGGTTAGCTTCTCTCCCTCTCCTTATGGTCGAGTATTTCTCTAAACCTCTCGCTTACTTGTACTACCTCTCTTCGCATTCGACGATCGGGAAAAGACAGTCTTTCTCCTTCGGACCGGTTGTTATGATCGCTGCCTTCGCTTTCGCTTTTTCTCCATAAAAGAGGAAGAAGTCTCATTGGTAAGGGGACTATGAACTAAACTATACGTGTAATCAAAGGCTGAGCCCTTGTCACTCTACTTTTGGAGACTGTGACCCTGCTGATGCTTCTTTTTTATCTTATTTTTGCTTGCGGACCACACCACGGATCCTTGGGTGGAATAGGCACCTTGACCATCCTTGACTTCTCTGGTAAGTTAGGCATCTTCCCATACATAGCCAAGTACGGATTTTGTGGGGGAAGAATAGGTAGGCAGAGATCCGTGAATGCGCAAGCAAAAAGAAAGCATTCACCGACTTACTTACGGAATCTAAAATCGATTTCTTTGTGTTAAGCATATATCATTCGTTTGTTTAGAATGTGCTTTGAAAAGCTTATGAGATGGATGATTTCTGATTATTATTTCTTACTAAGAAAATCAGTCAAGTTCAAGTGTGTCATCTTTCTATACGAAAAATAGAAAGAGATAGAGAGAGCGAGAGAATGAAGTGAAGGAGCTGACCCTTTCTCTACTTTTGATTCACTTGCAGCATATAGCCCTTGAAAGCAATTACCATGTCTTAGAAGGAAAGTCATAGGATTCACTGTCAATTCCTTTTGTGGACATCTGAGGAGAGGGGGAAGGCCTTCGCGCCGGCGGGTCAAGTAGATGCGGCACATTGCATATGTATTATTGATATCCCGAAAGCCAGTGCCAGCTACTCCTACTGCTATTGGCTAAAGATCGACAATATATTCGCCGCAAACCAAGGGACAACCCTCTTTGTCCACCTGTGAACCTTCTTCTACATGGATGTCAGTTGCTTTAAAGGAAGAAAAGGAGGTAAGAAAAGCAAAAAGGCAAGGGCATTTGATGCCTACTATTTCTATATGTCATTTGCTTGCTTTAGGGCTAGGCTAAGCCTTTAGCTGCGGTTACGAAGAGCTCTTATTCACTCACCAGAAAGACCTGTTATTGCAAGAACAGGATTATCTTACCTTAGCCAGCTTAGAAGTTAATTTCCTATTGAGGAAGTAGTGCCATTAGTTGGAAATTGCATTTCATCTGGACATGAAATCGAAAGTTATATTTCTCGATGCATACTCATATTATCGATATGCCACAAGCTCAAGTCCCACAGCAGATTCTAGCACAACCGAGTCTGATTAACTGACTTCACCACCACCGCTTACGGCTATTTGAACAACGGTTATTTCAGTTATTCCCACATAAAATTAAATTGCAAAGAGAACAGCGGCAACAGATATGGCAACAACAGGATGATAAACCTTCTTCCCTTAACCAGGTCTCAGTTAAGTTCCTATAATTTCTGTGCAGGCGAAGGTTAAGTCTGGAAGCAGGAATGATTCTTACTCCATAAAGGTAGTGAGTTACCTACTAGTCGTAGGGCATGAAAAGCTATTACATAAACAAGCCAGTTTTGCCAGGCTGAAGTAATGCTTATATAATCTGCTATTTCAACATCATCATATTTACCTCTAAAGAATGGAGCTTCCTAAGACTAGGTGAACAAGGTCTTTTTCTAAGAAGCATGTTGACAAAGCAGAAATGACACACACACACACACTAAAGTATTTACAGATAAGCTCGGCACCTTACGGCCATGTGCCTAGGATCCCCTGAGTGCTCTAAGGATTAAAGTCCAAATCCTATAGGAATTGAAATACCACACTCATATCGGTGAATCTATCAGGTTTCTTTCTCCTCCTCCGGGATTCATTAATAGAACTTAAATGCAGGAATAAGCACATAGACCATAGGTATGGAAGAATTAAAATTCATTCATGTGCTTATATTTCTCATTTTTCTTAGGAGAACAGGTTGGGTTACCGTAAAGTACAAGACAACTAACTATGCTCTGGTTTTTTCCTTGCCAAGGCCTTTTGACATGGGATCAGCCAGATCTCATCTGGACTCCACATACTTACTGGAAATTTTGTCAAGATCCTTCTCACATACATCAGACACACTGGTATGGATTACCTATTAGTTTCCTAGCTGTACTATCTCAGCATGGCAGCCGTAAAAATTGTCTAGACCGGCAACAATTGCTCCATATCGGTACTTCTACCAAGATGTTCCTGAGCCGCTCTACTTCTCTTCAAGCAGAGGTATATGAAATAAACTTGTTTTCCATGAAGGAATGAGTTATGCCTGTGATTTCGATGAAATTGCTCCTCTACCTAATATAATTGATAGTTTAAGTTTACTATTAGAAGTTTTCCAAAGTATAAAATTGAGGGCTTGGTCCCGAGCATCTACCATTATACCCACAATGATTGGACCACTTAATATGACCCTTTTGGCTTGGCTATTCTGGGCCTTCTTCTATTCGTACCTGCTTCCGTTTCTGCCCCCGCCATTAAAGCTTTCTGGTCCAGGCCTCAGGCACAGACCTGAAACTTAACTGATACGCAAAACTAAATTAAGCACAAAAGTAACATCCATCCATATATATGGGAATAACCCCTGTTCGTAAACCCAGTTGTCTTAGGCTGTATGAGTCTTCCTTAAACGAGTGAAACGCTCTAAAGAGTAGCCTACGGGAGATAGCTATATCTTTTCTATCTTCTTAATAACAAGCACAGAAGCAGGAAAGCTAGCCACCCCGATTCCTTCTTACTTCACTTTAGGCAGTGTCCATACGTTCCGGCATGGTGCAAGAGAAAGAAAGTCTTATTAAAAAGTCTTCCCTTTCATGAGAAAAGTTGTTGGTGGAATTATTCAAAGTCTTTCCGCTGTTTTGGGAGAGCACAAAAGCTGATTGATTAGGAAAGAGCTGCTAAGAGGGATGACTCGCCCTTAGCCCTTGTCTAAAACCTAGCAAACAGACCGTTGTAAACCAGGTGAACTAGAGCGAACAGGAGAAGCAAGCAAATAGCGGCCTCTCATCCAATCCACCTCTAGCAGTGAAAGTCAGGTATTCCGATCTTTGATCCGCCGATTCAGGAGCGATTGAAGCGAATACAATATAAGAAAGCAAGGAAGGGTTCCCCCAGTAAAGGCCACAACTGAAACCTCCGTTGACATCAGGTCCTCCTAAAGATTTTCAAAAACTCCATATCATTTTAAGCGGCAACACATTGACTGTGGATCTGTTATCTACCAATATCCGTGATACGGGCTTCCCGTTCAAGTGAGCTTTGACGTACAGAGGCTTGATGTCTTGGGTCATCTGGGGAGAGGCTTTGTCTAACACGACCTTTTTTGGCTCCCCGGGCTTTTACTGTATGGTCACCTGGCAGGTAACCTCTGGCTCTCCAGCAACTTCCGGAATCGGTACCTTCTGGGCTCGTTGAGCAAGAAGAGCCTTTAATCTATTCGAGATAAAGCCTTCCGGGTTTACTGTGACTTTCATCTCTTCATCCCTCTGGGTCCTCTTCTGATCTTTCTTCAATCATCTCCTCAGGGTCTTCCCTGCGGGGCTATACCGTTCGGGCCCACCTTTTATACCATTAATAAAATAGCGTATCTAACGAGTCTATCCGTCTAAGTCTCAGAGGAGTCGGGTACAGACCTATGTCCTTACCTTGCTGGCATTTCGTACCTGGGGCAAGCTCCATTTCAGCCAATGCCAGTCTTAGTTCTTCTCCGGAGGTTTAACATAGATTGATTACCTGGGGAACCTCTAGTCTCTAGCCCTGTACAAGTATAGGGTCTTTCAGGCTTGATGTACTCTATTTGCGTATTACCAGTTGCCTTCCCGGACTTCGGATTCGTTCAAAGATAAAGAGTGGTTCTTGCTATTTCTTTCTCCCTCTCGCCACGTGAAAGCTATAGAAGTACCATATTTTCCTTTCACAGCGCTAATGATAGGAAAGAAAAGTCTCCTCTTCGTGTTCATGCCCCACGGTCTAATAGATGTCTCAAAGAGTGGACTAAAAGATCTGATATTCCCCTAATAGCTCCTTCTATCAAAGAGGGCATTCTTTTTCCTTCCCTTCGGGAGTCTGGTATGCCTTGGATCTTGATATCTGGTATTTGAGCCTTTTAAGGGGGGAAAGCATAAGGAGTTGGCAACAGCAACGGACTTGATTGAATGTACCGTGTACCGACTGCTTCGCCTAACCCTTATGTACCAACATACGAGACCTCTATTCGACGAGGAGTAACGGGTTTTGCAAGTTCTGCGACTCCTACCGCCGCTGCCATAGACCAAGGTTTGAACAAGTCTAGTGGTGAAGGATGCCCGCGAGGGTCTCGACCGTTCTCAAACTAACTTCTCAGAATGACCGCTAAAAAAAACGATTATATATAATATCAATCACATGTCTGAACCAGAGCTAGGGTTTCACCCAGGAGTGTTCACGAAAGACCAACACACTTCGGGTACGCTGTAACTTGCTCGGGAAAATGGGAAATTAGTCTCATAGTTGCCTGTTCAGATTCCCGATTATGAGTAAGGCAAGCGGTAGGCAAAGAGGTCGAAAACGGGTCTGGCAGCTACGGGTTCCTCTTTTGTTTATGGGTGAATCTTCCATTCTCCGCGCCCGTTCTATCTGTGTTGATATGTCTTTCCTTTCTTA